TCCATTTAGCCACACCGCTTTTTCAAGAAGTGCTATAACTATGATACAGAAAACTCTAGTATTCATTTCACCTGAAGATGGTAGCTGTACGTTACCGAAAGTACTCGTGAACATTTTATATTTATATTTTAATAATTCACCGTGGTAACGCCACAACATGTAATGATTTCACAATAAATAAAAATCAAAACCTTTAAACAATCCAGCAAATTGTTTTTTAATATCTTAAAAATGCTTTTGAACGCTTTAAGCAATCATCCTCAGTTATCATTCTGAATCGAACGAACAATTCAAAATTATGTAAAACAAAAATTAATTATCTTAATTAACCTTCCCGCCTACATAAACTATGTCAACTCATCGTAGAAGGATTTCCATGCTGATGACAATCCGTCAGCATCCCTAGATTAATGCAGTTGTGTGCAACTGCGCCTTGTGAATTTCTACTTTTTCCAGATGTTTCACGGCCTGCCTGGATCTTGTAGCCTTGATGACCGATGCCTGATCCCAAAAGACCTCGATATTCTGCTGCTTGGCAAAGGCAGCAAGTACCGTAGAATCTATGTTTTTATTCACTGAGTGCTTATGTTCAGCAATTCTTTTCTTTAAGTTTCTCACGGTTGCTCCTATGTATACCAGATTAGAGTTAAATCTACGGTCTTTTAATGGTATAGAGTATACTCCTGCCATCGCGTTGCGTTTGTAACTGTGTTTATCATTCCTTAAGAGCCTGTATACAGTGGGATTTCGCTTGTAAACTAGCGTAACAATGTAGTTTGCAAGTGATTCGAATGTCTTTAACCTGATGATGGCCCATGAAATGGGTTGAAAACGTTTGTTTAGCTGAATAAATGTGCTTTCTCAGTAGTAAGGTGTGTTGACTTTATGGTGTTATGCAAAATAGATAAGAATGATGTTATAACAGTACACAAAGAAAAAAATTGGTACAAAAAAAAATTTAAGGAAAGCTACGAAATTACTACAGACAAAAATAATATTAATAAAAATCTAAGCATTGAAATTCATAAAAACTAGCTACAACTATTAAAATAGAATGTTTATACACATGCAGACGAGGCTGTGTGCGGCACTCTGGGAGTGAGACACTACAAGTTACGAGGCATGCGGGGGAGGCCTTCAAGTCGGGAGAGAAGGGAAGGGGAGTGGGAAGTACGGAAGGTGCCTGACAGATACCGTACACATAAGATACAACCTATCTATGTAACAGACTGAAGAGGGGCGAAAGCCCAAAACACGTATCTGTATGGTTTAAAAGTGGAGGATGAAATTATTTACCAAGTGTCGATAAATTCACCAAGTTGTGACATTGAACCAAACAAAACAAGATTAGTTCTTTTAGTATGAAAATTCACTACTAAAAGTTAATATTAAACAAAACCAAAATAAGGTCAAGATTTTAATTCTTAAGACCAAGACACAAGACTGATATTTCCTAATGTATGCACATTATGCAAACTATTTTTACAATTTCAATTACAGTTGCCAGTTATAAGCACTCTTTCTGTATGTCAAAAATATTAAAACTTGTCTGAGAAATTCTGTCTTAAAAATTTTTCCAGCCTGGGACAAATTTCTATTAAGCAAGATTGTGTGAAGAAATTAGATATGTCAAATATTATCTATAACTTTCCAACAAAATAGCTTGAACACATGTAACACATCAGCAAAATATTATAAGTGAATGTTCCAGTTACTTCCATCTCGAATAAAATACAATTCAAAAGAACTTAATAAAAAAATTAAAAAAATAAAAAAATAAAATAAAATAAATAAAATATTTTATCTGGAAACCAAATTAAATTTTACCCAGAAATGTTTTCATTCTTTTATAAGATCATCATCAGCTGTGAAAATTATCAAGTGCATTAGAAAAAATACATTCAAAAGAGAGAACGTCTCTACATTCAATATTTTTTCAAATTTAAAATAAGAAGGAAAGTTACAAATATACAAAAAATTAATAAAACAAAGTAAAATCAAAATAAATTAAAAAAAAAAATAAACAATTGCACTAAATATTAGTGTTTTAATTCTAATGAATTCCCATTTTATTTTAGTTTTGTTTCGGTGTAAAGGCCAGAGTTTTAATTATTATTTTTAGTTTTAATTAATTTATTTAGTATTAATTTAGTTTTTATAATTATTTTTAATAATTTTTATTTATTTATTATTATGTATTTAATTTTAAATTATTTTTGCCTGTTTTTTTAATCCTTAATTACAATTTTTTTAAATTAATTGCTACTCTTTCTTCTTTTGTGACATAACTTTAGAAATTGTTTTAGAGTTGTTTTGCACAAAAGATAATCAAATTGGAATTTATTTTAATGTTTTTAATACTGTAATTTTGTTATTTTTTATTTTTTAATTTTTCCTGCTTTCTAAAGATTTTAATTATAAGTGAGTTAACATTGAACTATTGGGCTACCTAGTTTTAAATCAAGGCTGGCAGTTGGCAAAAATATTTAGCTGTTGGCAAAACAGTTTAAAATATTAAAAAATTACATTTTAATTGAAAAAATATTATATAAAAATTTTTTAATATTAAGTATGTTTACTTATAATGATAAAATGACTTTCTCATTATAATTACAAAAGTTTTTGTTATGATTCACAAACGATGCTGTAAAACATTAAATTTTCAAATGCAATTTGTGCAGTTCTAAGTAAAAATGATTTTTCAAGATGAATCAGTTTAGACATTTGTGGCTCAAGTGAATTAATTCAAAAATTGTTTAACTCGTGATAATGATGATATTTGTATTGCTTGTATCATTTGCTGAACCACATTTAGTGTTAAATATGATGAAATTAAAGCATTTACTAGGAATGCTGAGTGCGAGAAGTGTGAAAAAAGAGGTGCATCTTCTAGTTTACCTTCTCCCTTCCCTGGACACTGCATCAACAAATGAACCAATTTCCAAAGATGGCAACCCTAGACGACAGGATGGGCTAGTTCGTCGAGTAAAAGGGAATTAGCTGTAATTTCTTTGATTAGTGTTAATTAGTGTTGCAATATTAACTTTATCCAGAATAAGACCACAAATTTATTTTGTAGTGCAAAATAAAAGTATGCATATCTACATATAAATAGAGAATTTTTGGGTTTCTTTTAAAAGATTGACTCTGGATTTTCCAATCATTTTACATTCTTAAGCTTTATGTTTATTAATTAATGAATGTACAGTGCTCATAATGTAAACCATTAATTTTCTAAAGTAAAATAAACTTTAGAAAGTATTCTAAAGAATCAGAATTAGGAATTGTATCGGAATTGGGAGAAATTTTAGTATCATCCCATCAGTACTTATAACATGTCACCACAACGTTACTTATTGAACATTATTCTAAAGATTTTTTGTAACATCAATAGGTAAATGTTTATATTTGTTGTTATTATCGTCTAAAGTGTATTCCCATCTCCTTCAATATAGTCAGAATTTATATTTGTATTTGTTCCCTTTTCTGGCACACTGTGCATAAAATGTTATTTAAACTTAAAAGTTTTGAACATATGTTAATCATCATTGTCTAATTTAAAACTAAAACCTAAAGATGTTAAATTAAAATTATTTTGCTGGAAATTAAAAGGTGTTAAATAAATGATCTTAATCTATAGTTTCAATTTGGCATTTGGACTCAAACATCGAAATTCTTTTAATAGAGGTTATACCTACAGAAAACTTGCAAAATATTTTTCAGATGGTTGATATATACTCTGCATTAAAAGGATGTAGCTTTGTCAAAGAGTAATTCCAACTAAAAACAATATTTATTTGGAAAATGTTACCAATAAGAAAATGTAATCCCATTAACTGGTACATATTTTACTGCAATTTTGAAGGCTAACCCAGTCATATACAGAAAGACGAGTCCTTTAGAAACACAGCTGTTAAATTTTTCACTATTTTTATGTTATGTATTTGTTATTTTTATGAAACAGATAGTAATTGGTTGATATATTAATAAAATTTTACTTAGAACGATTTCAACTTAAATTTTCAGTGATAAATGTATTGTATGTTCTAAAATCCTTTCCTGATAAAGGCATTTTTTGTATATGTGAAAAACATTCAAGTTCCAATTAGAAGTTCAGACTATTTACAAAAAATTTAAATTTTTGAGTCTATCTATTAATCCATTAACACAACCATTTAAATTTTTCCATTAACCTATTTAAATTTTTTGTAAATAGTCTGAACTTCTAATTGGAAGAAAAACATATCCTGAGTTCACCATGAAATTGTATCAACATTCAAGTTGTTTATTAAGTGTTTAATTTTAGTAAAGTTAAACCATGAAACTAAGTTTCTTAAATGATAATCTTTTTACTGGTATATACCATCATCACTTTGTATATTACTTTTAAAACATCATTTTATTATTATTTTTAAAAAAATAAACAATTAGAAAAATCCCTATGAGTTGTAAAAATCTTAAATTATGTAAATGATTTCAAAACTGCTTCAGCACACTCACAAGTTATAAAGAAATACCCTCAGCAGGATTAATTAAGACTGATAATTATTCTCTAAATATAACAGTAATCTTCAGGTTTAATAGTATTTCACACAGATATATAAGAGGTATAAAAATTATGTGTCCTTTATGTACCTTCATCTTTCCAGTGGCTGCTACATAAACAACATTTCTGAAACCTTGTTCAATCAGCTTTTAAGTATCGTGTTCCATTCCCATTTTGTTCTTTGTGTGGAATTCCCTTAAACCTGAAGATGGCTGCTGTAAATGGTATAAAACATTTGTTTTTTCCATTAAATTTTTAATTTAAAATTGGAGTATTTAAAATAGTAATCATACATTATAAGTAAACAAGGTGTATGTAATTTACAGAAATATTCAACAATATTTCATAATAGAAATAATTTTCAAAAGATATATTGGAAAATATATTTTACAGTGAAAAATTATACATAAATTACTACATTAAATTATTATATTTCAAAATACAGTATACTCACATTCTGTTTTAAAAGTAAAATATTCTGTTAAATGCCTACATTCATGATTTCCTCTTAATAAGAATAATGTTGTAGGAAAAGTAATTTTTAATGACCAAAGATATAAAACACACTGAAAAGAAAAATTTTTAGAAAATTCTAAAACTTATTTTGTCATTTTGGTATTCTAATACTATAAATAATAATTATTATCCAATTATAAAAATGTTTATTTTTAATGATTTTTGTGTATTATATAAAGTCATTTGACAAAAAAAAATACAGTAGAGCGTCGATTTTCCAAAAGTCAATCATCCGAAAGAATTCCAGTCGGCAAATTTAAATTTTCGCCAGTGCTGTGGTGCTTCAATCTTTGGCTATGTCTTGGGCTACTCAAATATTTTATGTTTTTGATACTAAATTAACATCTGAAGTATAATTTTTTATTATTTTTATATTTTTCAATATATTTATTTTGTTTGTACAAAATAAAAAAATAATTTTTAACGATACAATAGTCTTTGTTAGGCTTAACATCGAC